AGAACAAAATGCGCCTTGCGAAATATCACTTCCGGATTTCCTAAAATTGCAGAGACAGAAGTGTCGGCCTACAAAAGCGATCGGCGAAATAAAGAAATTTAGCTTTTTGCAGCAAAACCGTCTCAAAATTGAAAAAACCAAGGGCGTCATGCTCTGGAGAATATTTTAAAGAATCTTCTGGTGAAAACCGCATGTCGATCGATGCAGCCATTAAAAAGCCTTTTGAATAGCAAAATTCGGCCGCCACAAATAGATAATAGATTATTTATAGTAGTAAAAAGCAGATGGGTGGAGGTGGTCAGTGGTAGAGATCCTGTTTCTTTACTAGGCTATCGCTCTGCTATAATACATGTATCTGTCTGTCTCGCTTTTACCTATGGCTGAAGGATGGTCATGGTCTCTCTCTCACTCTATACACATATTGATAGTAGTAGGGAAAAGCCAAGGGTTGGAGTTTTGACAGAGTACATACAGAGGTTCTGCTTTATCTCCTGTATGATTGTCAACTTTTTTTGAGCTAAGAAAATGCTTTCCAAGGGAGTACACGTACCTTTTGGATGCACTACGAATCGGAAATTGTGAAAACCTCAGCTGTATTGTTATGACGTGGCTCTTACAATACCCGGGTTACTTTACAGAGGAGCTGAATATTGTTCCAAGGAGGGTGGGCCTAATTAGCTTGGGTTTCGTTGTATCTCGTTCCTTTTTCTCGGGGTGAGGGTGGCATTGAATCAAATGATCAACTTCTTATAAATATACATGTGCCTTAAGTGTAGTTTTACTGTATGTAGTGAGTCACTTCACAAGCTTCTCATAATTAAAGAACACTCAACCAGTGTCTGTGGTATAGCAGCTAAGCGTTTCGCTGTCCTATGCAGGAGACACGAGTTTGAATCCCAGGTGGGGCGAATTTTTATTAAGTATGTCGGCCTTTCTGCTGTGATATTGTATTTGTATCCCTCTCGACCCAGGTTGGTCCTGACCGGCAGGGTCAGAAGCCTGTCTACTGTCTGCTAACTGATCTAAATTGTGTGGATGGGGGTGTAATACTTACATTTTTTAAAAAATGAAACACCCTAGGGCAGCACTCAGTTTTTCTGAAGTGTAGCTGGCCATTTGACTTTGAATATTAAGAACTCTGTGGAACAATTATGCTTGTGACTTGTGGCCATCATATTCAAAGCAGGAAAAGGAATGGAAGTTGTCTAATGCATAATAATGTTAAACGGACTGCCTCTCTTTTTAACAACTTTTCACTGCATTTTCTCAAAGAAGAGAGAATACATGTACTTTTTTTTTTTAATGTTAAAAATATTTCTATCTTTTCTCATTTTCTCAAATAATAGAGAATACTACATGTATTTTCAAATGTTAAAACAATTATTCCACAAAACACTCTCAAATTCAATCTGAACTTCGGCAAAGTTTTCTAAACAAGACGAGAAGAACTGAAGATTTTGTTACGAGAATGGGGGTCTCCTTATTATAAAAGTGATAAATCGCTATCACTACTATCGGTGATCATGTCGTTTTTACGAGAAAAATTCGTCAAAAAAGTGAGCTCGACAAATTAAAGTCAGGAGTCTCAGCACTCATTAGTAGGCCTACATAAATTTACTTATTATTATTATTATTATTACAGTTGTTATTACAGTTATTATTATTGTTACTATCATTTGTCACAGGTTCTTCCAAGTCTCCTCGCCTCAGTCCCCCCCAGAGTGTGGCTCCGGTGTCTGGAGAGTTGGGCTCCGCAGCAACAGGGGGTCAGGCGTTCAATGAGACGGCGTCCATCATGGACCATCTCCCTCCTGCCTTCTACGGTAAAGTTCTTTACGAAAGTATGGGTGATTTGTAGGTGGGTGATCATAAGGTTCTTTGGTCTTCACCTTCACACGTTCGCCTATCTCGTAGACTGGATGTCTGTCAGGGCGCTTTTGGAGATTTGGCCATCAGTTTCCTCCATTCCGTCCGGTCTTCAGCTTTTCTGAGCGTGTCTTTGAGTTCCAGGCCTGTCTATTCCTGGATGTTGTCCTCCCAACTCTTCTTCGGTCTGCCTCTGCTCCTTTTTTCCTAGACGCTGCCTTGCAGGATCATCGTGGTTCTTTGGTGTAAGGAAAGAAAAGTCCACCTTTCTCTCCTCTCTTCCCCTCCCCTCCATATCTTGGCATATCAAGACAATCAAAGCTCACTTTTTCTTGATTACTTGATCCTGGGAACAACATCATAGCACTCCGGGCATTGCCATACGTGCTCCGCTCCCCGCTCCAATATCCACCTCAGAGTCCATCTGCTGATCGTTCACTTTTTCAAGTTACTGTAAGATATTGCTCTAACCCCCAGGGTGACCCTGGATGTTGCACACTAGGTCAATGAGTTTCAAATGGGGAGGTCTATATTTTACTTTCACATGTTGGTCAAGGGCAGGTCGTTACGGGGGTGATGATGGTAAGGTTTCTGACGAGTCTGCTGGGGGTTAGTGAATGGGTTATGAAAAGCTCTTCGTGGGCCTATAGGTTGGTCATGGATTAGTGAGGTTAAGGTTTTTCAAGGGTCTGCAGGTAGTCTGTGGATGTGTGGGTCATCTTTAAGTTTTTCAGGGTTTTTTACAATCTTCTCAAATCCCCCAATAAGATTTGGGCAACACAGTGAAAGGGTTAATGTGATGTTTCCAAATTGTATCTTGACAGTACAGTCTAACTCGCAAAATAGCTAAATATGTGGGCAGCGAAAATTTTTTGGTTGTGTTTGAATTTTGTATTTGTTTTATTTTTCCAGGTGTATCAGACTGGGCGGAAGAGGATATTCTGGCACAGGTGATGGCGCAGTCGCAGCAGGAATACCTGGATAATCTGAAGAAAAAAGCGGCTCCGAGCACAGGCCCTCCCTCTGTGTACCACCCGTCCACCTCTTCTTCCCCCTCTTCCTCCTCCTCTGCGTCGTCTTCCGCCGGTGGCGCCATGGGCATGTCCGAGGTGGCTGGCTACAGCGGAGGAGCAGGCACGTCCGCGTCCTCCACCTTGGATCAGGGTCCCCCGCACTACTACAGCAAAAAGAAAGGCTCTGGCCACCACAGTTAACGCATGCTCCACGGCTAGGTGTATATGTTTTATCTCCTCGGCCCGGGACGGGGAAGGCTCTGTAAGGAATCTCTGGTGGTGTACTCCGGTCACAGTCAAGGTCATTGACTGACTGCTGTGAGCGTCCAATCTCTTCTCCCCCTCTCCCCTTCCTTAGTGATATATATATTTTTTTTGCTTTCAAATTGATTTGCATTATACACAGACATTGTCAATACTGCCGTTTGAAATGAGATCCTAGTGACCAACAAAATAATGTTTTGAAAAAACTGGTAAACCAACTTTTTAAGCTATACTTTCTGTTCAAATTTTCTAGTTTCTATAACGTTTATATGGTATATCATATGTCGAGTATAGAGATATAATCTATTCCAAACTAGGTTAGAAATATGAGAGCATTTTCACTTAATTAAATTGAATCTTATAAAAGTCAATTTAGCCTTGATTTGAAATACTATGCTTTTCATCCAAATCGCAGAGTTGTAATATTTAATCATCCAAAATACGTCTTTAAATGTCATGCAAAACTGCCTTAAGTCCAAACCAAAGCTGAATTTTTTCCCCCCTCAACGGCTGTGGGGTTTGATGAAGTAGTTTCTGTGTGCTGTGGCTGGAGGTTTGTGTGATAACTCAGAACGGCTGTTGCTGTATGAAGAAAAGAAAATATTTGTTTCGTGTTCTTATGCAAAGAGAGTTCATATGATAATGGTGTACTGCAAGGGGTTAGTGGTTATAATTTTTTTTTATTTTGGAAAAGGAGATGATGCAGATGATGGTGAAATGAATGTTCTCACCCTTTATGTATATTCCCTTTTATGAAACTTGCTGTTACCAGTACAATGGCTTTCTTTTGGCAGAGTGGGTTTTGCTATGTGGGATACCTAACACTTCCACTTAACATCTTCAGCTTGGAGCCTTTTGCGTTACTTCTTTTAAAAATCTTTGTGGTGATGTTGGACCAACAGCTTTCAGACCCTAGGAGTCTGAAATTCTCTTTTGATAAAGGTAGTGCTGATCCTTGTCTTTGATAAGGGTTGAGACTGTTATGCTCTACAGCAGATTTTTGTTCTTTATGTTTTAATTCATATGGTGGAAAAGGATGGGAGGGTAGAGGAAGGGCAGAGAAAGTGTTTGATGGGAGGCAGGAGGGACAACTTTCACTTTCCTTTCAGCTCTGGGGCGCTGGACTTTGTGTCCCGGTCTTTACAGTTTTTCCTGAGCTAGCTCACTGGTCCTGGGAGGTGACTGACCTAGAGCTATCATAGTCCACCGCCTTAAGTATTGGACTTGAACTTCTTGAGTTGTGAGTTTGATTCTTGGCTTTAAAGTTAAAGGATAGGACATCTTGTCCTTGAGAAATATACATCCCTGTGTTAATCTCAGTTCATCCAGCTGCATATAAGTATTTGGCAATCAGTAGAGGCAGAACATGTGAGTGATACTGGAAATGGCCTATTGGGCTGCTACGCTGTATGTCCCAAGGGGGTTCAAAATTAATTCTCATTTGGAATGGACGACTCTGTTAATAACTTTTTAAAAATTTCTGTGGGGAAAATACTATTAAAATATTTATATCATGTTCCTATAGTGCAATAGGTAATGGAGCCTTGTATTGGAGCTCAATTTTCAACCAAAGTGTGCATAGAGTGGGTCGTTTTTGTGGGCAGGGGTCCCTGGTGGGGTGGGGGTTTGATGATTATGTGCCTGTGTGTGTTGCTTTTTTGTGTGTGTGTGTGGGGAGGGGTTACTTTTTTTTTTTGTCTGAACATATTATATCTTGATATTTAACAAATCCTGAGTTAGGTCTCTATGAATCACATATGGTTAGTTTGCTCTCTGCAGTTGCTAATTCTGTGCATATCACATGATTGACTCAACTGTGTTGTGTTTAAGCTCCTTTTTGGAATTTTTTGAGAAGATAAGGATTAGCAATGTATACATCTCGTTGAAGCTGTACTGTCTTTGAATGTGGGAGCGAAATGGCTTGGGCAGATGTGTACCTTTACGGTCAGCCCTTACCCCTTGTAGCGATTTGTGAGGTATTAAAGTAACTATTTTAAAGTTTTGTTTTAGTAAATGGCACAAAATGAGTCATCTTACATCTTTCTCCCCACATCTCTGAGCAACCACTTCGTTTTAATGTAAATTCACATGGTCTAAGAAGCTCTGGTGTGGTTCGCTCCTTCTTTCCTATCGAACATCTATCTGTCATTCTTTCCTCTCCTCCTTTTCTTTGAATGTTTTTCTAGTGACACTTCTAATCTTCTGCACTTGTATGGCGTTTTTGTGTTGCAGGTACCTTTGAACCCTTACTAAAACTAGCTCATTCTTTCTTTTTGATTTTGAGAACATAACAACAGTTTGGTAGTATGTTTAGGAAACACAGCTGAGAGTATGTATATTTCATTATGTTTCATATGAGAAGCTCGTTTATCTGATGAAATGGGGGGAAGGACATATATATATAGGAAATGATGTCATGATGTAGCTAGTCTGAAGAAATTGCCTGATAGATATTGATTTTGTCATAAAAATTAAAGGTATGATGTAATGAAATTTAGGGAGTAGTGAAGCACTCCACCTCTCGTCTTTTCTCTCGATTGTACTATAGTAATTTTTCAGGTGGAGGAGAATACTAGACTTAAACTCGATGATGTGGAGAAGAATGTTGAATAGTATAACTCGTGTGATGTTTTCCTTTTTTTAACTGACAGTTGGTTACTGTGCGTGAAAGTCGTCGTCGAAGGATGTGCAGATGTGCTGGAATGGTTGCTTTATTTATGATTTGTACCTTTGTGCACACAGCCCTTGGGATGTTGGTACCATCTCCTCTGTTTGTATATATACTTGTATGAATTACGTTTGCGTGTGCATTGCAAGCAAGGTGTACCGATGATAAGTTACATAGTTTGAGTAACTTTGAAAACCAGATGTTCTTTTTTTTTTTTTTTTTTTTTTAGTGTTCTTCAGAATTTGGACCACAATGGATTGCCCCTTTGAAGATTGGAGATGGTTTGACAATTTTAAAGCTATGACACAACTTGTTGGAATTACGAGAATCGTCAAAGACTGATTATGTTAACCCTATCCGTACGTCGTGTTTTACTATCGTATCCATGCGACGTGATGAGCTCTTTGCCACCACTTTCCAAAGAGTAAATTTACGATCCGTACGCTTTGCATAGCAGTCTGTCAAAATGACTTTTTGAGAAATATTGAAAGTTTCAAAGAGATCTTCGCACTAGAAGTATTCTAAAAGGTGAAGAATACAACCCCGGGGATACAAAATGACCCCAGGGCGTACGGATAGGGTTAAGGATGTTCAAGTAGCTCAATCGTTATCATGCTGTGGTTTAGTGGGGGATAACACAGGGTCAAATTCCAGATAAGACAATTTTTTTTTTTCGTTTGGATTGTTTGGGGAGTATTTACGGCTCTCGCCCATTTGGCTAGGTCCAACTGGAGTATTGGGAAGTATGAACATTGAATTCAGGGGTCCTGCCTCAAAAATAATCTTACCTTGTTTATTAGGTCGTTACACCCATGCCATACCAAATGTTAAACCTGAAATCCTAGTGACCGCCTTTGCTGCAGACTCTTCTGCGAGCTGGCTTAAAATTGTGCCGTGCCAAGATATCAAGACCAAGGCCCCATACATGTTGGGAGGTTTCTAAAGAACTCCTATAATACTGGGGTACTGTGTGATACCCTGATTACTTGCGATACTCGGATTTCATTATTAATTGTGTCTCCATAAAGATTGGGCCACTGTTTGTTGTTATGCAGATTGCTTGCAACGCTGAAAATGTATATTTGTGAGGTAGCATGGTGAAATCAGGCGCTTGTCCAATAATCAAAGTGAAGAAACTGGCATTTTTCCGCAGGTTTGTGAATTTTTATCGGATTTTTGTTCTTTGGCTGAACACCTTTCATGCCAATTAAAGAACACATTTCTGTGTGGGTTTTACGGAAAAACATTGATTAAAGGCACAGAAAATGTAATTTTAAGTTTTCACGGACTCTCAGGCTAAGGAAATAACTCATCTTTGGCAGCCATTTTCTCAAAAATGTTACCTCTGAAACCAAGTGACCCCCTCCTCATTCATTCGCAAATATCTCGACTTCTATTCAAGATAAATATGTGTAGTTTTTTCAACGAAAGCAAGACAAATGAACAAGCTTTATGATGATACCAATTACTTCACATGCCCAAAAATTGACGAGCACCCGATTCCACTACGTCGCGCCACATTTGTGTGTATTCTGTAAAATTGGGGTTCTGTTAGTTATGCAGTTTGCTCGCCATACTGGAGATCCATGTATGTTTTACACAAGCTCTTGCGATGTATTGCTGATGTTTTAGTCAGCACACGGCCTGATATTATGTACACAATCCAGTGGTGAGAAGGTCGACTCTATGCACTTTTAGTACATCAGTTCATCTGTCCTATATGTGTGCGGCGTGAGTGCACAGGTGGATGCGAGTGTGTAAATGAACGAGAGTTTAACTGATGTAGACTGATAATCTGACATGTATATATGTGATTTGCTTCTCGGTTGTTATAATGGGTCACCAAAGCCTGGTGGCTGGCCTCGACAGAAGTAATGTTGTGAGCGATGTAATTGTGTTTAATTTGATTGAACCAAGAGTTGCTTACATGACAGTGCATTTGAGCATGATTGGTTTTGATTTACAGGGGTTTTTTTTGTTTTGTTTTCAGATTTTTCTTTAGTTTTCTTGTCTTTCTTTTTTAAAATGAAATGACAGTAAGCATTTTTTTAGTTCGTACTGAATTGATTGAATGACCAAAATAAAGATATATGCGCCTGTGAAATGCTTGTGTTTATATCCTGGTTTCTGCTTTCGTGCAACTTGTGTGAGTAGTATAGGGAGAGGGGGACAATCTTGTGCAGAAAGCCATTATATTGAAACAGGTTGTTTTTTTCAGTATGTTTTAGTCATAATTATAATATACTAGCTGGGCCCCCTTTCGATGAAAGGAATGATCGGTGCTTTAATATCAACTAAAAGTCATTGGCCTACTATATTTAAACTCT